AGGTCACCATTGTGCATATAGGAGTAGATATCACTGGACAATTTAAGCAGAAAGGTATGTTACTACAGAGAAAGTAGGACATACATGATATTACTACTTTCAACTCAGGTGAGTTATGTTCTGTTTGGGGGTTTGTGGGGTGGGGGTGGGGATGAAGAAAGAGTTTAAAAAATCTCCAGTTAGTCTTGCCTGGGAGAAAATAAAAACACTAGAGTTTCCACACTTGTGAAACTCATCTATTCTGGAAAAATCCCAAGCAAAATTCATTGATCTGATCTTTAGTGCATAACCTGAAGGGAAATTCCTTTCTAATCAGATGAATGGTGTTAAGATAATCATGACAAAGTTCTATCTGTCTAGTCTTCCTTTATCTGTATTGCAACAGAGAGCAAAGATGGGAGATGCCAATCCAACAGGCAAAATCCACATCTGACAAAGCACTTTTGTCTCAAGGTTAATGTAGCCATTAAACATGGCTAGATCTAGCATTATTATTGATCTTGCTCTCAAGTTTGCCAAGACCAAGAAGGTAAGTATTTCAGGAGACACAACACATCTACAGTAGATACAGGAACCATTCATAGATGTTCCCATTGTTGAGAAACGATCAAAAGAATTCACTGGAAGAATCCAGTTTCTCATCTGGAGATCCAGAAATATGTCAGTTCCTGTTTGTATTAATTTAAAAATAATCAGTTTAAAGTATGCAAAACCTTAAAATTAGACTATTTGTTCATCTTTATGCTATATTCTGAATAGACAATAAAAAGACCTTAAGAAACAGCCTTTTTACTACATTACCATGTAAGGTCTCAATTCCTGGATAATTTCATGGATATGTCTGGGTTCTTCCTTTAACAACAAAACAAAACAAATTTGGAATTCTTTTCTTTTGAGATTTTCCCATCCCACTCTACTTTCCAATCTTAGGTTTTCTTGAATAATTGACTTCGTTTAGAATTTCAAGATTAGCTAAGGTCATTTAGTAACTCTCATCTTGATCCCTCTGTCCTGAAGATGTTCCACAGTTTTCTCTAAGCTATGCTTTCCAATTGTATTGGAATAACAATTATGGTAGTTATATTCCTAACACAATGGAAAGACTAGGAAAAAAGATTGGGAAAAACATTCTAGAGGTCTGAATGGGGGACTTTCTTACACAAAGAGAACATCCACCATTGAATTATGTCCTTTTTCCAAGGAAAAACAACTTTAAGATGAGGATAGCTTGTGGGAACATTGTTGGAAGTGAAGAAAAATGCCTTCTGCAGCACTTTTGGTGCTCAAGTGTTGGTGATGACACTTGTTTTAGAAAATTCACAAAATGATGTTATTGCTACTCCCGTTATTACAGTGCAGTAGAGTAATCTGGTGCTGGAAGGTGACTAGGCATGCAAGGCAGGAGAACAGGAAAAGTGGCACATCAACAATTTCCTTCCAGTGCTGAAAATTGTAGAGAATGGCCCACATCACTGGATTTGCTATCACTGATCTACACACAATATCTGACCTCTGATTTGTTTCATGTTTGCTTTGTTCTGGGAATTCGATTTTAGGAACTGCACTTTGTTTATATCTTGCCTTTTCTCTAACAGGTATTATATCTCTGTGACTAATGTCTTGTGAAATATGTTAGGATGACTACACGTGTGACTGGACCAATTATCCAATAAGTTTTATAATTGCATGCAAACCTTCTGCATTTCTCTGATCCAAATCAAACACCCATAAGAAGTATACTTCACTGGCTTTCAATAATAATAATAATAATAATAATAATTATAATAATAGAGTTGGAAGTGACCTTGGAGGTCTTCTAGTTCAACCCCCTGCTCAGGCGGGAAACCCTATACCATTTCAGACAAACAGTTGTCCAGTCTCTTCTTAAAAACTTCCAGTGTTCAAGCATTCACAACTTCTGGAGGCAGATTGTTCCACTGATAATTGTTCTGTCTGGAAATTTCTCCTTAATTCCAGGTTGTTTTTATCCCCGATTAGTTTCCATCCATTGCTTCTTGTCCTGCCCTCAGCTGCTTTGAAGAATAGCTTGACTCCCTCTTTTTTATGGCAATCCCTGAGATATTGGAACACTGCTATCATGTCACCTAGTCCTTCTCTTCATTAAACTAGGCATACTCAATTCCAGCAACCGTTCCTTATGTTTTAGCCTCCAGTCCCCTAATCATCTTTGTTTCTCTTCTCTGAACTTTTTCTAGAGTCTCAACATCTTTGTTATATCATGGTGACCACAAGTGGATGCAGTAGTCCAAGTATGGCCTTACCAAGTGTTATAAAGTGGTATTAACACTTCATGTGATCTTGATTCTATCCCTCTGTTAATGCAGCCTAGCATTGTGTTGGGTTTTTGGCAGCTGCAGCACACTGCTAGCTCATATTTAAGTGACTGTCCACTAGGACTCCGAGATCCGAGATCCCTCTCACAGGTACTACTATTGAGCAAGGTAGCACCTATACTGTACTTGTGCATTTGGTTTTTCTTGCATAAATGTAGAATCTTTTTTCACCACTGAATTTCATTTTGTTAGATAGCACCCAATGTTCAAGTCTGTCAAGATCCTTCTGTATCTCAAGCCTATCTTCTGGAGTGTTGGCTATTCCTGCCAGCTTGATGTCATCTGCAAATTTGATGAGTTCCCCATGTATCCCCTCAACCAAATCATTGATGAAGATGTTGAAGAGCACTGGGCCCAGAACAGAGCTCTGGGGCACCCCATTATACACTTCCCTCCATGTAGATGCAGTTCCATTGAGACCACACACATAGGGTTACGAATCCATCTGGTGGTGATGCAGTCTAAACCACATTTTTCAGTTATCTTACGAATACAAATCATTAAAATCGGCAGGCTATGATTTATGGTTTAATGCATTGTCCAAATACATATTTAATCAAACAGTAGCTATAACAAACTGTATTTTAATGTTAATTAAGTCAGAATTAGCAATGGGTTGAGGCCACTGAAAGTTACAAGTTTACGTATAATGGATTTTATGCATGTCAAAACACACACACATCTGGCTCAAAACTTCTTGAATTGGGATGTATGTTTCCAAAATTGGGAGGGAAAGAATTTGGAAAATCCTTTTGAAAGGTATCGCCACACTTGACAGAAGCTAACATACATTGTTCCCACATCCAGTTTTAAGGTAATACAATAATTGAGTGTGCAAAAGTAGTTTGAATGCTGGTTGCATTCATTTCCAATACCCCCTCTTTCATTTTTTAATGTCACCATATGCTTGTAATTCAAAAGCTTTTGTCCTGTTTTAAAAAATGAATGAGCTTAAGAAACATAACACTTTAATACAGCTTTTGAGGCCATAGGAAATAATTTCTTAATAAATGAAGTCTGTCACTTAAGCTGCACTCAGAGGAACCTGAATTAATGTAGTTCTTTTAACCTTCCATGGAAACCGTGAGCAGCAAGGTTTGTTGCAGAGTTATCCATTTTAAAAGTTATCCTTACAAATATTTATATTGATCAAGAGGATAAAATAATGGCATCTAGAGGAGAAAAATAGATTTTTTTTTAATGGTGGAAATAACACTGAAAACAGATCAATTGACCCAGTTTCATCTCCTTCCATAAAACAGACAAATGTATGAATCAGGCTAATTTTCAGCCTACCTCCTCTTTCCATTTCTCTATAATTGGACTAGGCTGTCCAGTAATTCAGCCAAAAATATATGAGGTGACCGGGAGGCAATCGCTTTTGACAGCTCCCCTCTCTCAGAAGACATTTGTGGTGATCAAATCCAAACAAGCAGCTAACAGATACCGCTGAAGTCCTTGGAGAAAGGAGTGATATAGAATTACTACAACTCCTATCTTATTTATTAAGTAATAAATTACCATTGTTGGGAGAAAAGAGAGCAAGAATGTCAGGCACTGACATTGGCTCCATTTAACTCCAAATAGTTTACTTGTGGAGGGAAGGGGAAGCGACTGGTCCAGATTGTCAGGGAGGATGAAGTAAACTTAGGAGAAAAAGGAGCAGAGAAAAGCTCTGTAAAACCATTTCCAATGGCTTTAGGGCCACAGGTAGTCACTCTGCCATTCTCAAGTCTCTCTCTCTCTCTCTCTTTCTGTGTATGCATGTTTATGTGTGTGTATGTGTCTCTGTGTCTAAAACCATTTCCAATGGCCTCAGGGTCACAGGCAGTCACTCTGCCATTCTCATGTCTATCTATCTCTCTTTCTGTGTATGTATGTGTATGTGTGTGTATGTGTCTCTGTGTGTAAAACCATTTCCAATGGCCTCAGGGCCACAGGCACTTTGCCATTTGTGTGTGTGTCTGTGTGTCTCTCTGTGTGTAAAACCATTTCTAATGACCTCAGGGCTACAGGCACTTTGACATATGTGTGTTTGTGTATGTGTGTCTGTGTCATTGTGTGTAAAACCATTTCCAATACCTCAGGGGCATAGGCAGTCACTCTGCCAGTCCGATGTCTCTGTGTGTGTGTGTGTGTGTGTGTGTGTGGTGTCTCCAAACCCAACAAATGAGTTTGACAGCTCCTTAAGGTGGAAGCTAATCATGGCCCTATTTGATAACCTCCTAAGCGAGCAAGAGGCTTGCAAAATATGGATGTGAAGAAAAATTGGCCCCAATCAAATCTCCTCTCGAGACAGGCCACTATTTACAGTCCCGGTGGCCTTTTGAAGCCACCCCCTCCATAAAGCCGGGCAATTCGTGTCGTTGAGGCTGAGCGGCAAAGGATATGGCGGGGCCTGTAAATCGCTTACCACAGAGCGACTTGAGCCCTCGGCAGACACATTGGAGCCAGCCTCGGCCTGCCTTTGGAAAATGTGTGAACAGCCTCTTTTGTCGGGGGAGGCCCGATGATAATTAGACGGCGCTTATCTGCCCTTTGATGTTTGTTTACTCCAGCGGCGCTTGCCTCGGGGCCGCGGCTCATAAGGGAAGGGACGCGGGCGGGCACGCCTAGCGTGGACACACAACCCGAAGCCAGCGCGCCATGACCAAGGCTCCTTTCTCCGTAGAATGGCTCTCCCAGAGCAGCCGGCCCAGCAGCAGGCATGCCCAGAGCAGGCCAGAAGCCAAAGAGAGCGGCCGGGCCCAGCAGGATAATCCTCCTCCGGCCAGGGAGAAGACCCAGAGTGAGGGTATGCTGGTCGAGCCGCCTCCGGGGCCTCTCCCTTCGCTCCAGAAGAACAGGCCGCCTTTGCCTTCGTCGTCCACAGGTACCTCCCTCGTGCAGATCGCGGGTGGGATTTCCCGCTGAACTCTCTGCTGCGGCGCCCGCGAGCAAAGGATCGGGCTAGAACGGGGAAAGAGCACCGGGAATGACCGACGGAGGCATTGGGAGCCTCAAATGGGAGGGCTGCAGGGCTGGTTGAGACCTAAGCCTCGGCGTGTTGTGTTTTAGATCAGGCGATAGGCAGAGAACACGATGCAGAGAGCGCCGATGGGGTGCTCCAACTCCTCGTGCCTCCTTCCGGAAGTATGGCAGGCAGCTTCCATTACTCTTTAGGGCGATGGGATTCCAGACCGGAATACGATCGGAGCCCCAAGTTGGAGACACCCGGTTGTAGTGTTCTAACTTAAAAAAATAAAGATAAAAGGGAGCCGAGGGCCGTGCTTCAGCCCTCGAGCCTTGCCTTCTTCCAGGGAGAGCGAGCGAACCCGCTCCCTCGTTGCTTCTTTGCGTGACGATCGAGGGGCCTGTCAGATTAAATCAATGGCCTCAACTTCGGAAACTTTGCCAGCTGCTTCCCTACCGGTAGAAAGAAACGGAGTAAATCGTGTTGCTTATTAGAACAAGCACTAGTCTCGCTGGGCTCGGGGAAATTTCCTCCCCTCTAGGTTTACTAGAGGGCAACCTAAGTGGAAGAGGAGTAAAACTGGAGGCTGGGAGTCACTTTGCGCTTTTAGACATAGGAATGGACAAAGTTAAAGACTCCCCTTTTTAAAAAAAAAATTCTTAAAGTTCACTTTAAAGGAAGTAGTTCCATTTATTTCCCATCCCAAGAGAATTGATAAAAAATCAGAATAGGTTCTAAATTGTATGAAGAAGTTGGGTATATTTGGGACCCACTTAACGCCGCGTTCCTTGAATGCTGCCTTTCCATTTTTCTTAATATGTAAACTTTTGTGAAATGCGCTTTTCCAAACCTTCCTCAGTCAGATGAGTTCCAGATTTGTTGGTCTGTAATTTCCATTAATGGTCAAGCGACGACATAGGCCATTCTATCCGGGGATGAAGGGGTTACAACACAGTCCATCTAATTCTAAGCAATAGATCGGGGCACCCAGCCATTTTTTCTTGGAAAAAGAAAAACGAGAAGCGTTTTCCCCTCTGACCCGGACCCTTACCTATTTTTTTCGGAATCATTAGCTGCTTCCCAGATGGTGTGGAGCACTACGGAGTGCGGGTCCGACGGCGAAGGAAACTTCTCCGAATGCCAGATTCCAGAGGACGGTGGAAGCCGAAACGCGAATACTCGCCGTTTGCGCACTGCTTTCAGCTTGGAACAGATCGGCACCCTGGAGAGCTCCTTCAAGCGGCACAAATACTTGGGAGCGGCTGAAAGACGCAAATTGGCCAGCAAAATGCAACTCTCTGAAGTCCAGGTAATGCGAGAAGCCCGTCGAAGATTTGCAGGGAAAGTCTTCTATTTCCAAGAAGTAAGAAAGGGCCATAATCTATGGCCCTCTCATCGGCATTCTAGACCCTAATTTAATTTTGCTAGAATTCCTTGGCCTATCATCATTTTAGTGGAAAGGGAAAAGAGATTTGGGAATGGGGATTTTCAACAAGGTTTAAGGACAGATGTTTGGGCTTAAGATAGGCTAAGCCAATTTAGCAGGATCTTCATCCAGGTGAATATGAACTGAATTTTAACCTGTGTTGCAACTGCTTCTTTGGTGGGTAGGTTTATTTTATTGGTTTAATGTGCTGTAATTTAATTTATAGAAATTTACCACATTCATTCTCCATCTGGTGACCTCCCAATGCTTAGTTTGTCTTCAGCTATGATGGCTAAGAATTCTAGGCAGGCTTTGTTTCCTTTGTGCATCTTGAAGGCACCAGGTCTTCGTTTCAAAACTTGATCAGAGATGCCATTATATACCAACACTGGATATCCGCATTTGTTTCTTCACTATTGAAATATAAAGGGAGCAGAATTAGACTCTCCACTTGTGCTAATAAAGTATACTGATTCACCCACTCTTGTTTCTATTTCTGCAGATCAAGACGTGGTTCCAGAACCGACGGATGAAACTGAAACGTCAACTGCAGGAGATGAGGCCAGAACCATCCTTCCATGGCGTACCATTTTATGGTCACCTCCCTTTTGGACCTCAAAGTGGTCCCTTGTCCTATGTTTATTCACCACATCAACAGACTTTCACCAGGAGGGATTCTTCTGGCATTCCTTTCCCTCCAGTGCCCCCTCCCAACTTGGATCCCAGAAACACCTCTGGAGGACAGCCAGGTGCTATCTGGCCAATGCCTATTCCCTATTTTGTGGGATACCAAGACCCAAGAACAGTGTTCATGACGCTATGAAGGATTTTAATGACCAATAACAGTCAATTTGCACTATTTTTTTGTTCATCAAGTGATTACCAAGAGCTACAGAAATGGACAGATATGCTGTGAAGAGCTATGTTTTGCACAGACATTTACATATTGAGTGAGTGAGTGAGTGAGTAAGTGATACTTATGTAAAGACAATGTGTGCAGTATTGGTAATAGATTCAACAAGATCTCCAGGATCTTTGATTGTCATACAAATGAGGATTTGATCTAGAAGTATACAGACAACTCCCAAGATGTCTCTCCTGGACACATCAAAGGCAGCTGTTGTTGGGGAAAACTGATCTTAAATGGGTTCTCAAATTAGTTTATGCTTGATAAAAAGTTAAAAGAATTTTTTGTTATAAGAGTTGTGCAATAAGCACATCACAGGTAAATTACAAGCAATGTGCTTTTAACACTGCAGAAGCAATTAGAAGCAAGTTATATTCAATTCTGCAAAACAAAAGTGGGCCTTATTCACAACCAATAACAAATCTGTTCTGTTGGCAAGTAACATATTCATTATACAATGTTATTCTTAGGCTCTCTCCAACCTTTTAATTTTTCATTAGCATTAGTGGCATGATACAAATCTTAATTTATTGTTAAGTATGGTTAATTTAAGGGTTCATAGGGAAATGCTGAAAATAACTGGAAGAATGTATGAAACTGATATATATTGAATCAGACCACTGGAGTCTCTGTATGATCATTTTGATCCTACCTGGCAGCATCGCTTCAAATTTTAAAACATTAACTTTTCCAGCCCTCTGTGAAAATGTTGCAGTTTGGATCTGAGCTCTTCTACATGCAACATATGTGCTCAATGAACTATATCTTTTTTCTCAGGGATCTGAAAGGGAACTACTTTGTAGATATGCATATATTAGATGGCACAGAGAGAGAACTGTAATCATAATAGTTGTTATGTGCTTTAGTTGTTCAGCTATATGCATTATTGGGATAATACTTGTTACAGCTGTGTTTTCTAGGTCAGAGCTCTGATAAACCAGAGCTGAGTTAGTGAAGTGGAGATAATAAGTTTTTACTTGCTCCCTAAGGTTACATTTGGGTGCCAGATAACTCATAAATATCCAACTGGCTGGTAAACTTGAAAGAAATTGATCTGGATAGCAAGGCAATCCTCTTTAAAAAATGCCCTCATTTTCTTCTTTCTTGAGTTATTCCAAGCTATAGAATTAGTTCCCACAAGAACTGTATCCAATTCTTTTTTCTCCTTTTAAAAAAGAAGTCAAATCTCCATTTTAGCCAGGTTTTCCACATCAAACTAGTTCATGATGGTTTTAATTGTTTTTATCTAATTTGGTTTTCTGATAGATTTTTGTTCTCTCTCTTGAATACCATCTAGGTAAAAAGCCAGGATTTAAAAAATATACACAAAGAGTCTCACAGTATAAAGCATTATTATTTTAGCCCCTCCCCCAAATACCTGCTACTCAAACCCACTTCTTCTCACATATTGATTTAATATTTTTATTGGGCAATAGAAAGTTAAAAAAGAAGTTTCTGAAAATAAAGAGGTTGGGGCCTCTAACACTTTTTATCAGGAAAAATAGAAAGAAAAATGGGGAATTATAGAGGTAAAAGTCAATGATTGTACAATTCATTGCATTTATTTATCAAGTCTGTTGATGGGCATGCAAGAAACATGAAAACCAGGTCAGGTTTATCCCTGCCAATTACCTTAAATGTAAATGAGTGCCTTTGAATCAGCCTTGGACAAGTCCATGCAGTTTTCTTGGAAATATTTTGAAAGTGGCTTGCTTTACCTTCTTCCAAGGGCTGACAGTGACTAGGGGTTGACTTTAATTCAACCCCTTTAATGACATCAAATTCTCTGCCAATTACCTTAGGGATTTACTATTTTTTAATCTTAGGGAAAAGATTGTTCTTCACTTTTAAGTAATCTGCTCCAATAATACCCTTGCCCTGCCAGCCATAACAGTTGGCAGGGTCAGAATAAAAGCCTAATGGATTTCATTCTACTACCTCTAATTATAATGATATATACTGTGTATTAATATTACCACTAACAATTTTTCTCCTTCCATGATATTAAAATGCTACCAAGCTTTGACTCTGCTTTTAGTCTTCTTTAATTTTACATCAAAGATAAATGATAAAACATTAGCACTTTAAATAAAGTGGCTTTAAAATGGTCATTTCATTTTGTATCTTGGGAATATTCTTCAGGAGCAAGACTTTATTGTATTGTGATTGCTCTGCTTTTGTTTAATATCATGGGCTAAACACAGATAATTAATACTTTTAAACAAATGTTGAATAAAAGGTACAACTGAACTCAGGGTCACACTATATTTTGGAATTTCACTTTTATTTTTTTTTCATAATGTTGATTTTCACCTAATAAAAATTCTATTTTTATTTGAACTGCTTTAGTTATTCATTGATTTTCACCTTTTGATAAGATAGATGTTCTGGATACATTTGGGTTTTGTTCTTCCTCTTGGGGATTGGAATTGGAAAATAATGGGTTTCATCCAGATCTGGGCTAAATTGTGGCCATATAATCAATTAAAGTGCACACCTCACATACATACAAAGCATACTTTAATACATACTAAAATATAAATCTTTCCCAGATAACCTTCAAAAGCAAATTAAAAATTTGGATAATGCAACTTTAAGAATATCTAGAAATAAGCTCTGTGACATACTAGGAAATTTTATAGCATTTAAGGAAGAAATGTGAACAAATTTCTCAAATCCAATGCTATGATTGCTGCCAAGCTGAAACCCATCTTCAGCTCGCATGATCTACTTTAGTGTAAGACTAATCATATGTTTCAATTTTTTCTTTGTTGCTGGGCTACCTGTTCTCATTCTGCAATAAAAGTGATCTGGTATCCAGCATATTAAAATAAGAATTGCACAAGCACTGCCTTTCTGCAATTACTTTTAATTTTTTAGGAATGCCTAATATAAATGCATGGTGTTTGAGTTTCTCTCACCCACTACAATGAATCCAGTCTGCATCCAGTATTATTTAACACACACACACACACACAGAGAGAGAGAGACTTGCTTCTATGTAACATTGAAAATGGCCAGGAGAGATGGCCTGTAGGCTATTACATATTCCAGATATGTTTCAGATTTTATCACTGAATTGAGCCAGGCATAACAGCAGCAAACAATTGAAGGTAATACCTTGATATGGAGAGTAATAGATGGTCAGTGAGATTCTAGAAACAACTATTTAAGGGGATAGGACTAAATGTGAAAATCAAAAAGAGATCATAAGAAAAAGAAAAGAAAAAGTAATTTTGGAAAATCCTAATGTATCCAAATCAAGTATCCAAGTCATAAGAATGATCTGTCATTGCTAAATGGTTCTGCAAAAATGGATAGGCATAATTCCATGTTTTGTTTTGTTTTGCCAACTTTTACAAACTGAATAAACCATATGGGATTGAATATTAAAATAAGGAATAGCTAATACAATTTGGATACTATCACATGATTTTTAACCAACAAAATCATAAGGATTGGATACCATCACCTGATTTTTAATCAATAAAGCAAAAAATATAGAGGGTGTTCATCATTCTAGCATTTCAAGATTTGGCAGCAGAAATCTAATATGCACGTTTTATACTAGAAAAGACAATCACTGACGGTTTTTTATGTTTTCTTATGACATACCAATAGCATACTTCATTAACTGTTGTCTTCCAGCATGTTGGATAACCACCTCGGCAAACTATTGCCATTACCTCAGTTCTTTGAAGCTGATGGGGGCTGAAATAAAAAACAACTAGAAAGCACTAGATTAGTCTATCCTTGATACATAAAAATGACACCTATCTGCAGCAATGGCATGTTGTAGACAACAGCCATGAAAGAAAGCTTTCAGCTCCTAAAAGAATGGAGACTCCACTCTTGATATGAAAGAATTACCAGATGAGACTGATGGCCAATCTTTTGATCCAAAGAATGAAGAAGTTGAAATTTGGACCCTAGGAACAGACAAATGCAAAAAGAAAATAACACCTAGGAACAGAAGGTCTTATCAATCAGATTAAGTTTTTTTCTTCTTTTTTCAGATTGAGCTCAAGCTATCTTCTTTTATCTGTGCTGACATAAAGGAGAAATTGTAAGATAGAAATCTTTGTTGATTGTAAAGTAAATACCAACAGGTTATCTCATATCATATCTACATGCAGGCTGAAGATAATAGGCACTCCTAAGTTCCTACAGGCAATGAGACAAATGGATGATTGAATTATTTTATGGATTATCTGAAGTATTGAAAAAATGTCCAGAAATGGATTTAGGAATGAGGGAGCACAGAAAATTTCCTGGGGGGGGGAGTATCTTTTTCCCTTAGTGAAGTCAATTAAAGCAAGGGAAAAAGCCTTTCAACATGCTTTCTTCTCCATTGTAACCCAATCAAAGCACAAAGGATTTCCAAATCAATTTAAACAAAAGATGGGAGAGGATTAAGGGAATTTACACACCTGTCTTCAAAAGAAATAAATCAAATACAAATGACATTTGTAAATTGCATTAATAATTGCATGCTGGTTGCTTTTCCAAATCCTTTTCCTTCACCAGATGACTTAATTCAAACATGACACCTCAAAACCGCCCAATGATGCTTCATTCAATTGTTTTACCTGCAGGGCAGATGACAGATGGCCTTAAAGATGCCATGGCTTGAACGGAAAAGGAAGAGGTGAGAAACATCAGAGAAGATGAAAGAAAAGCTAGATTCTCTTAACAACTACTTTACTAGCTTAACAACTGCAGTGATTCACTTAACAACTGTGGCAAGCAAGTTTGTAAAATGGAGCAAAAGTCACTTAACAACTGTCTCACTTAGCAAAAGAAAATGTGGTTATAAGTCAAGGGCTACCTGTACACAAGATTTACAATCATACAGAGCCCTTCATCGGGAAGAATGGAATCATAGTTTAATTTATTTCTACATTAATAAAATACAT